TTCCGAGCGGCTTCCCCTCCCATACCTCGAGTGGTGCCTTGCCGCCCAGGACTTCGGTCGGGGTCCGATTCTTGAGGTAGATTGCAGTCATGAAAGCCTCCCCCCACAGCTGTTGAGGAAGGTGCGGTGCTCCCAAGAGAAGCTTGCGGGCAGTGTCGATGATGGTACCAAATCCACGCTCGGCGATGGGGTTCCCTTACGGGACATAGGGGGGGCTATTCGTGAGCTTGATTCCGAGCGACTTACATAGCGCCAGAAACTTGCCCAAATACTCCGCTCCCCCGTCGCAGTGCACCGTGCCGATGCTCTGACCAAGCGGGTCGGCCTCGTCCCGAACCAGAGTTTGAAGAGCTTCGGCCGTTTCGTCTTTCGTCTTGAGTAGGTAGCCGAACCTCATGCGAGTAGCGTCATCAGTAAACATCACGGCACTCTGGCAACCCCCGTATGTAGCAATAGGATGTTTCCCCCACGTATCGGCATTTAGAATTTCCAGCCGAGTTCTCCGAGAGGGGACGGTTAGACGGGGGGTGGCTGCCCTTCTTACTGTCACCAACCGCACAAACACCGCAGTCACCTGGTTCGATGTTGCGATTGAACCTGATTCCGGTAGTGTCCTTGTCCGCCAGCTGCTGCAGCGCTCGCGAGTTGCAGTGGCCCATCCTCCGGTGCCACAGGTGAGCGTCTACCTTCGTGCGATTTACTTCTACAGCGCCCAGGTTGACGTCGTCGATGATGACATTCAGCACGTACATGCGAGGCACTGCGGTCGAGATCGGAAAGACCTGGTTGCCCATGCGAAGCGCCGGCGGGGTAGACATCAGATCACACATCACCCCCTTCTCGGCCAGCGCTCCAACCGAAAGTATGTTCGCTCCAAGGCCCCGAACCAGCAGAACCTCCAGAGCTACTCGCACGACTTGGTCTTGATCATTGCGCACCCCAAACTTCAGGGTACCTTTCTTGGTTGCGTCGGATGTGCCACACGACCCGATAATGCGCACAGCGCAATCTACCGGATTGAGGACGTGATGGGACAAGCGAGACTGCTCATCCACCATGTGGCTGGACGCGGCGGAATCAATGTAGCAGGCGGAATCATCAACGACCTGCGGTTTCTCTTTGTCCACCTGAAACACCCTGCTGAACGCAACGAGCTCGGTGTCCTCAGGCGCCTCCTCCGTCTGAGAATATCCGTTGGCAGCAGGGTCATAGACCACCGCTGCAGCAGGTGTGTCCAGTACCTGCGGGTCATACACAACGCGTGCATCCTGCAGCGTCGGCACCGGCGCGTCTTGCACCAGCGTGTCACCAGCAGCGCGCTCCTCTGGCTGCGCCGCAGCAGGCGCATCCTGCACCTGCACGTCTTTTCCGAAAGAGATGGCGTAGTCCTCCAGCACATCGCCTTCAGTCTCCACCCGCGTGAACCATGCCTGAGTGGTGGAGTCTTGAGTGTGGTGAGTATCAGCCTGTTCAGTGGCTTCCTCCGCCTCGTGCCTCAGGCGGAGCGGGCAGTTGTGCCACCCGTGCTCTGTCGAATTATGACAGTAGCGGCAGCGCCCTTTTCGGTTCCGACCGGTGTCCTGGCCCTTACCTCGGCCACCGGAGGCGTTGTTGCCGCGATAATTCCCGCGAGCACCTTGCGCATTTCCCGCGCTGCCGCCTCCAGCGTTGCCGGCCGATCCGCCGCCGCTGCTGTAGTTCCCATTCGACGAGCCGTTCGTCGAACCGTTTGTAGTTCTGCCGCCATTTCCTCGGCGACCACCACGACCACCACGGCCGCCGTGCTTGCGGAAGCCACGTGGCTGCCCAACCCATCGTCTTGGTCGAGCTCTTTTCCGCGAATTTGCATTGCGTGGTAGAGTGTGGCACGACGTTCAATATCGTCGAAGCCTAGCGCACCGCTACCAACAGTGGGCGACTCTACCAACAGTACAGTCTTGAACGAGCCGTATTGCTTGTCGGGCAGGGCCTTTAGGATGGCATGTGCTTGCCGTTGTTTCACGACTGTGTCTCCGAGTTTGCCGAGTTCGTGAAAGATGCGGCGCAATTGTTGGATTGCGCGAGCCGGATCGTACTTGTCAGCAGCGGTGACCGCGACGGCGGCCAACTCATCGTGTAGCTGCTGCATTCTGAAAGTCCCATCGACACGGTACTTTTGCTCGAGCGCTACAGAGAGCACTTCGACCGTCACCGAACTCCTCGTCCCCGACAGGCCCAAACGACTGCACTACCTGCGAAGCCGGGCTCGAGTATCCTTCCGGGCAGTCCGACGTAGCCAGCAGAAGCCGCGTGTAGAGTTTGCCATTCTTTTCTTGGAACTTTTGTAGCTTCCTCTCGTACGTCGCGGTCGCTGCGGCGTCGGCATCCTCCGCCACCGTGGGAGCCTTCTCCGCTCCAGACATGACCCGACCTAGGTCTGCCTCGTACATCAGCGCACGGAAAAGCGAGATCCAACCGACAAACTGGCCGGGTTTTCAGTTTAACGCGACATATCCGCGCTGCAGATGATTTGACGACTGCTGTTGCGCTGATGACGCCATTTGACTCGAGATGATTCCCTACCTCGCTATACGTCCTGTCGTCTTTGAAACTCTCACATTGCAGCACTACTACAGGCCGCGATGAATCTCTGGGAACAGACCGACTTGGAGGACGTCAACCAATAAGAAACACGCAACAGTAGATACTACAATTATCTTGCGCTGAGAGTTGTGTCCAAAACAACACGAATGGAGTTCAATAGGAGGCGAGGTTCACTCGACAGCAATAGTATTCTTTCTGCTCTTGCGTAGACCTGAGACGTGAATTTAACGGCGCGACTCAGTCTACAGCGTGTTGTGCCCATAACAACACGACTGGCTTTTAGAGGCGCGGCACAGTCTACAGCAGTAGTCTGATCTGTTTTCGCGCAGACCTGAGGTACGAATGAAAAGATTAACCGTACCCTCCCCGCTGCTGTGCCTCTGCTGGACTTTCGCGCAGAGCTGAAGTTTTACACCCAGGGCGATTTGTGGTCCAAGTATCTGCAAGCTGCTCGTGAGATCCGGAGAGACTTCAATCAAATCTGGGACAGGTGAGCCCTTATTTTGACATTGCTTCTTGCACCGCTCGCTTGCCCTGGGCGCATGTCCCGGAGCATTTGACGGCACCTTCGCTGTTTCTGCACTCGGTGTATTTTACCAGCATCAGCCCAGACAGACTGTTTTTCAGCGCACAGACCCGCTTTTTGTCTAGAGCAGAAAGAAAGGCTTGTAGGTATGGGTGAAGGAGAAATACACTGCTGTACGACGGGCCAGGGTCTCCTCTCCTAAATTGCGCTGCGAGTGTGTCACCTACTACATCCCAGTTTCTGACGACCGAACCTAGATGCACCGATAACGAAACCAAAAATATTGCATTACAGTGCCTATGAGACGATTGCTGTTCGTGTTGACCGACATGATGTGGTTTTAGACATTGGGTAGCGCGAGAGTATCCACAAGAAGCAAGTCAAGTATCAGCAGGAAGGAAGTTTTCTGATATTCGAGAGCGTCATGTCTACGTCCGAGTGCACCAATTCCTCATCACAGCGATCATGGCCAAAATTCCGTGACACATCTGGAAATGATAACGAACTAAGGACATTTCAGACCTTTTCAAATTGTTCTTGGCCAATACCCCCCGACCCTTGCGTGTAATCTAGCCTTTTGGGGCCGGACGAGAAGCTCCCGTCAGGAGAGCAGCCCCCAGAGCAGTGGTGCCAACTTGAAGACCAGCTCTACTTCGTCGAAAAAAACAACGCTAAAAGAGCCACCGAGAAGAATACAGCCAACGCGAAGAACAAGAAGACACCTGTAATCTTGGACGGCGCGGGCGGGGGGGCGGACAAGGGGAAGGCGAAAGATGACGAAGAAGAGGGTTCTCCGGCCGAGTCCGCGGCCGCGTCGACTACTGTCGAGTCCGTGGCCGCGGTGAGGTGGGTGGCCTCCCAGACGGCCGCGTGGGAAGCTGAGAAAAGAGCCAACGGCAAGGTAGCGTCGACGCCGGCGCCAGACACTCGAGCAGCAGAGCTAGAAGCGAAGATTAGTGCCTTGGGGCCTGAACCCGTGGCGGATTCGGCTGATCGCCCCAATTGGATGGCGAAACGAGCGGCGTTGACCATGGCGGCTGAAAAACACCCCAGCATTAAGCAGGAGAAGGGGGTAGAGGGGGGGGAAGCACCAGAGGACGCCGAAGACGACGATAAGTTGACGAGGCCATCAGGATGGGTTCACAGCTACAGCCTTGTCTTCGCGTTGTTTGGCCGTCCCGCGGGCAAGCATGAGGACGTTGACCTCAAGGTGGCCATGTCTACCGGCCCCGGGAAGCAGGGGCGTCGCGCCCACTCTGCGTCGCCGACTCCCTCTAGGACGTCGGACGAGGATACAAGGGACACCAGCAACGACCCCTTGGGCAAGCGTGGTCTTCAGACGATGGATGGGGCCGGGGGCATCGGTGGTTTCGCCAGCCGGGAAAAATAAAAAAATGGGGTGCGTGCTCAGAATTCGAAGGCGAAGAAGGAGAAGGAAATGCAGGGCTGGAGACGCAAGTTGGTGGAGTTCGCAGCAGCCCCCCAACCGGAATCCAAGTCCGCAAGAGAGCTTTGTGCGAGCGTGGCGGTGCTCACCAAGGCGGTCGTGGCCTAAGGGCGTCTCGACGAGGAGGAGGCGGCGGGTCAGCGTCACATGCGGACGATAGACGGGAAGGAGAGGAAGCTCAGTTGTGGGAGAAGCGGGGCAAGGAAGGGACAGAGGATTATCTTGCGCTTGAGGCCGATCTTGAATGTCTGTATGATATCCCGCCCTGTGCAGCTGTCGAGCCGCTTCCCCCCGTTGACCTCGCATGTGCCGCAGCCCCCCCTTCGAGTGTGATTGGCGATGCTGAAGCGGGTGCTGCAATCGCTTCGGTCGGCGGTGGAACGGGCGTTGGAGGTTTTGGCTTGCCCGGTTTCAGCGGCAACGTAGGGCTCGCCCATGCAGCAGCAACGGGTGATGCCACGGCAGTTGCGAGAGCATCGGGCGCCGAGGCAGGCGACATTAGGGTTGGAGGCAACTGAGTCTGTGTGGCTATAGCTTTGGCTGTTTATCTCGTGCTTTTCGCCGTGACTCCTCGTCGTTTCGCCGTGACATGACGCCAGGGAAATGAAGGGTCCAATATCGCGCGGGAGGGGGGCTTTGTCACCAACAACCCGGGTGCGTAAAAATCTCGACCNGGGGGGGGGGGGGGGGGGGGAGCTTCCTTTTTAGGTAAGAGCCTGGATGCGTGAAAAATCTGTACTAGTTCAAACAGTTTCTGCGTGAGTGCAACAAGACATGTTTCGAAATGTTTCCTAGCTGTAACGCCGCTCGGCCAAGCATCAACGGTAGGAATACTTTGTCGAGCGTTGGTGAGGCGAACGACTCTTCTAGCGCGAAAAACGTCAAACGGGTTTGTGCCGTTACAGAAGAAACAAAAAATGTCCTGAACAGCTTTTAACTGCGACGATGCCTTGCTTGGCTCCCTCGGATTATTTTTTTTAGCGACTATCTACCCGGAAGGCCCCAAAAATCAAAGACGAAAAGCGCCGCCGACGTCGCGCCCAAATGTAACCTACAACGGTAGACCTATCCTTACAAAACAACCTATCAATCACCACGGGGTTGCATGGTTAATGCTCTGCGCACCCGGTTCAACCGTACAACCCCATGACACTGAGTCAGGATGAAGGCAAATTCGAACACATGCACCTAAGCTCTTTACTTGGGACGCGACAACCAGATGATGTCGTTGATCTTCTTACGAAAAGCAAAACTCTCGATTAGGTGTCTCTTCGACTCTGCATGGTACGGGTGCCGCTCCTTTCTCACGTGCCCCCCCTCCCCACACTCTTCCTCCTCCCCCTCCTTCGGTGGCAGCAGCACTCCCTTCGACCCAACAGAAGTGTAGTCGGTGAGCGGGTCATGCTCCCAGGCGTCGTGGTGCCCAGCGCTCCCTGTCCAGTCCGTGTTTTCCTCGAATACGTCCAGGCCGTCGAACGTGTGGAGCATGTTGTGCAGGATGCAGCATGTGAAGAATATGTTGTCGATGTATTCTCGTTTATGGTATGGCATGCGGAGCTTGAGGATTCTGAAGCGGCCCTTCAGAATCCCAAAGAAGCACTCCACATCTTTTCGCACACTCTCAAGATGCCTCGAGAATNTGCCCCCCCTGCCCACACTCTTCCTTCTCCCCCTCCTTCGGTGGCAGCAGCACTCCCTTCGACCCAACAGAAGTCATGCTGCCATGCGTCATGGTGCCCAGCGCTCCCTGTCCAGTCCGTGTTTTCCTCGAATACGTCCAGGCCGTCGAACGTGTGGAGCATGTTGTGCAGGATGCAGCATGTGAAGAATATGTTGTCGATGTATTCTCGTTTATGGTATGGCATGCGGAGCTTGAGGATTCTGAAGCGGCCCTTCAGAATCCCAAAGAAGCACTCCACATCTTTTCGCACACTCTCAAGATGCCTCGAGAATGCTGTATCCTCGTTGCTCTGCGGGTACTTGGACGGGGCGATGAGGGTTACCCACTGGTGTACACGCGAAATAGACAAAACACAGGAGCCGAACGAACGAAAAACGAGAACGGTCAGTTTAAGCGAGTACGGCTCACAAGTGAAACTCTCTGTGCACTACCGGCACGTACTTCGAAGTTTGTGCAACAAGATAGGCTGTGGTGTTGCTCCAAACCCTCTGCGTCTGCAGTGTATGCTAAGCCCCATTTTTTTGTGCATGGCTTTCAGATATTCCGCACCCAAATCAGCACCCTCTCGCTCGAAGGGAGCTTTGCCACGATATTCTTGTGGTGGACTACACACAAGTCCTTGGGGACGGACATCCTGTGATACGAAACCCTCAGCGTGAATGAGGATATCAGGGTTTATTGGGAGCCGACTTTGATGCGCAGACTCATGTGTGTGCGTGTTCTCACACGTGTAACGGGGGCAACAAGAACATCTGAAAAAGATCCCGAGCGTCTGAAAGCGCAGCGACCACAATTAACTGTCAATAACATTTGAAGGCCCATCAAAGCAACACCGGCTTACTTCGTGTTACCCGTTGTCCACGATCAAGAAGCATCCGCGGCGCGTTCGCTCGGTGCCGTTCGCCTTGCGAAGTTTGTACTCCCGTTCCGTGTACTGGCTTTCTGTTCTGATCTTGTTGACTCCCGAGTCGTACCGGATGATCGTCTTGTCATTCGTCGCACCGGTGAAGCCGTTGGTAACGGCTAAAGCGCGTCCAGCGTGGTCGACCGTAACCTCGCAGGCAATGGTTGGAAACCCCTCCTTGCCCGTGAAAGAACGGCCAAGGGTGAAGGGGCACATGTTCCAGCCAATGTGGGTGACATTCGTGGACCCACACGCTCCCGTACACCCTAGTTGGTGAAAGATCCCCATAACTTCGTCCAGGTACGTCCCGGTCAGGAGGTAGATGTGCTCATCGAACATCTCCGCCGCAAAGTGACGGCAGAACTTGTGNGTGAAGCCGTTGGTAACGGCTAAAGCGCGTCCAGCGTGGTCGACCGTAACCTCGCAGGCAATGGTTGGAAACCCCTCCTTGCCCGTGAAAGAACGGCCAAGGGTGAAGGGGCACATGTTCCAGCCAATGTGGGTGACATTCGTGGACCCACACGCTCCCGTACACCCTAGTTGGTGAAAGATCCCCATAACTTCGTCCAGGTACGTCCCGGTCAGGAGGTAGATGTGCTCATCGAACATCTCCGCCGCAAAGTGACGGCAGAACTTGTGGTTGCTTGTGCCATCGACTTGCTCATCTTCGACAGCTGCTCTACGTCGTCAAAGCAGTTGCCCTTGCCGAGCACCTGCAGAGCCGCCAATATCTGGAGAAAAATGGAGTGGTGTTCATTTTGTGGAAGGGGGGCAAGAAGTGAGCGGTGAGGTACCGCTTGCATACAAGGAGGCCAGCACTGTTGGTGCCAACCAGTACATTCAACCCCCGACCACCCCGGGAAGGGCACCACAAGAGAGGCAAACATGCGGTCCAGCTGTAAACAAGTACGCGGGCCATTGCGTTTTCCCCAACGTTGTGATTCAAAATCAAGTTACGTATACCAACAGCAGGGGCGCTGCAACACTCTGCATCGGCAACCTTGCTACCCTTGGTTGCACTACGGATAATAAAGGGAGAGAGGGAGAGGGAGAGAGAGAGAGAGAGAGAGAGAGAGAGAGAGAGAGAGAGAGAGAGAGAGAGCGGCTGGGGGGGGGCACTAGACTATGTACGACGAACTCAACGTGGAACGGACACCGAAGGATGTGCACGAAGTACAATATCAGAAAATAAAACAGGAAATCTAAGAAGGAACCTCCCCGGCACATCCGAAGCTCTGATGCGGTCAATACGGAGATTTTGGTGTTTCTGTTGGCACACAGACACCTGAAACTGTACAGAGTTTCAGCATAGACTAGTCTGAAGGGAGGCGCGAGGCTTGATCTGCCTAGTCTTGCCTTGTCTACCGCATGCAGAAGTGTTTGGGTACTGCAGCACGTAGGCGTTCCGTCTACTAACCCCAGCTACAGTGTTGCTGCCGTAGACATGAGACCCTCCTTGTTCTACTAAATACTCTTTACGTCAGGCGACAGGCGTGCAGTAGGAGGTTCACACAAACGGGTAGACGTGCGTAACTTCAGTTCGAGTGGTATTCCTTCGCGGTTAGCTGTATCCTTCTCCCCCGGCGAAAACCACCGCTTCGCCCTTGACAGCTTGACCAGGTTTTGAAAAAAGGGGTAAGGTACACGAAAGCGCCCTCGAAACACTGTTGCAGCGGCCGTAGTGTGGTCGGCGAGGTCGACATGCTGAAGCTGCTCCCACCAGGCAGAGGTACGCCAATCCCTCCGCTGCGTGACGCGTCGCGTCCTCTTAGCCTTCGGGCCGACGACTTCCTCCTCGTCCTCCGAATCCTCGTCGAACAGCACAGCATCCCAATAGGATACCGAGCGTGCTGTGCGCCGGCAACCATCCTCCCCTTGGATCTGGTGCAAAGCCGCCAACGCGACCGACAGCACTGTTGCTTCCAACTGGTCGTCGCCGGTCCCCATATCGGGCGCACCGCGCTGACAACAAAGCACCGGGTCTGCGCGTGTGGGGCGCTGTGCTAGGCTGTCACGCGCTGTGCTGTGCTGTGCTGTGCTGTGCTGCTTTGTGGTGCGCTGTTGTGCACTGTTGGGTGCTTCCAGCGACCAAAGCAGGTGTGGTGGGGGGTCTGTGCGATGCACCCCCCCCCCCTAAGGTTTGGATTTCCAACTAAATAGCTTTTTCAACTCGGTCGCGAGTTGAAAATTTCTGAAATTTTCAACTGCGCAGAGCGTTTCCATTTTTTTCGGCCCGAGTTGAAAATTTATTTCTCGGAAAAATCGATTTTCCAAACCGTAAGAAGAAGCTCTGCAACAGTACGCTTAGTACTGTATGGAGAGCCGTACTAAACGCAGCAGTACGTTTAGTACAGTATCGAGGATCGGTACTGAGGTTTGTATTAGAACAGTATGAAAAGACGTACTAAAAGCAATAGTACTGTATGGAGAGCCGTACTAAACGCAGCAGTACGTTTAGTACTACTGTATCGAGGATCGGTACTACTGAGGTTTGTACTATTATATATATAATAGTACAGTATGAAAAGACGTACTAAAAGCAACAGTATGTTTAGTACAGTATGGAGAGCTGTACTAAAGTGTTAGTATCCCAGTACTGGGCGGTGGCTGGGGCGAAATACTTACTAAAATACTTGAAAGTACCAATACAGACAGCGCCCGCAGTTAAGAACTATAGGGCCGTTTTAAACTGACCGACTTTTTGTCAAAATGTTTGAAAGTGTCAAAAAA